AAAAGAAAGTTATAAAGCAAACAATCATTTCATCTTTATTTAAATTATTTTGTTTAAATCAATTTTTATTTTTAAATCATCTAAACTACACAGGAGGCTTTAATCGAGGCATAGAAAAGCTTGATATAGTATTTGGGTTTGAATTTTGCTGCAGCAATTCACAAGTTTGTAATAGGCAATTTCGCTTCTGAGTTCTTTTTTCTGGTTCAAAAATACCAATTAATTTTAATTTACAGCCTTGCAGCAGGGTTTTTCTCAATACAAGATGTGAGTTCACAATAATCATAGAAACAAAAATTGTAACTATCGATTTTATAATTAGTTACTTTATTTTAAAGAGGAGAGTCATTTTATTGAAAGTAAATTTTTCATTATATACATTATTTTACTTATACCAAGATATATAAAAATATGATTAATTAATATACTATTTCCATTCCTTTATTAAATCATTATTCTGCATTCTAGTAACAATGAATATATCAGAGATTTTTGCGATTATATAATCACAAAAATTGTGATCTTTGTGATCCCAAAGATTTGGAGATTGTATTACCATAAAACTCTAGCATTTTACAGAGAGATAACTCCTCTTCTACAACTAGCCTTTCATACAGAAAGCCATATAGTCACAAGATTTAATAAGGTAAAAAAAGGGTTAATACTCCTTTGTCAATCTGGATTACTATCTTTTGCAATATTATTTATCTTCAGGAGGTGATTAATATTAACTTTGAGGGCTAACAATTTGGGTTGATATATATAGTCAGACCTCTCTATGTGCATGCCCTTGGTACCACACTTTAATAATGTGCATATAGGGAATAATAAGAAAAAGTACATTTATGGAGGAAGTCAAGTGAAATATTTGGACTGGCACTTGAGCATGTATTTATAGAAGTCAAGTAAATATTTGGGCCAGCACTTGAGTGTGTATTTAGAAAGGGGTGTATTTAAAGAGGTCTGACTATATTAGGAGAGATATTCATGATGAAAAATTTAGTTTGTGAAATGCTAATATTAAAAAGGTTGAAATTACAGAGCAGATAGAATGAAAAAGAGGAACAGATTCAAAATTTGCAGAAGAGGTTTATTCAGATGATATTTTGTAGTAGACTGTTCAGTGCATACTTTCTCGTTTGCATATATTTAGAATATTACTAATTTTTATTTTACTTTAATAAGTGCAATATCTTTAAAAAATAATCCTTGAAGTACAATATTTATAAATTTTAGTAAAATGGTAATTATTAAAAAATTTTTATATTTATTTTTATTTATAATTTATTAATTTAAATTTTATTACAAAGCAATTATGGTTTATTACAAGCTTGCTTCTACTAATGATAATGATTATTGTAATAAAAATAACCCTTAAAAGAATAATAATTATCATTATTATCATACTTATTTATTAAAAATAAAGATACTGTAGTTCATGTATGAGAATTATTTACAAGTCCTAGATATATAGTGTAATTGTAATTAAAATTTGTGATTCGGAGACAAGTGAATTTCGAATTCGAACCTGGAACCAACTTAAGTTGATTATAAATAAAATTCAAAATGTCAACTCAATAATTATTTAAAAAATAAGGTTAAATAATTATATGAATAAATTTTATTGTAAAAGATCATATAAAAGATCTCTGATCCTCTATGAATCAAAGTATGTATATATTTTAGAATGCTCAGCTATTTACAAGACCCAGGTCTTGTATATAGTCTTTTATAATACTTACTATAGCCAGTGTAAAGTAAAGGTGAATATAAAATATCTTATAAATGCAGAAGTTTCAATTTTGTATGTGAAAAGACCGCCATCTATACTAAAAACTCAAAAAAGTTACTAGTATTTGAAATATGTATGGGTATATGAAATTCTTTTACCTGTAATCTCTTTTCATTTTGTTAGTACTCGTCTGGTAGTTACAGTCAGACCTCTCTAAGTGCACCCTCTATAAATGCATACCCTCTCTAAATACATGCTCAAGTGCCAGTCCAAATATTTACTTGATCTCCAAAATGCACTTTTTTTTATTACAGTAAAACCTTCATAAGTGCACCTTCTATAAGCGCACACTTTCTCTAAATACACGCTCAAGTTCTAGCCCAAATATATACATGCTCTTCATAAATGCACTTTCTCTTATTGATCACTAGTGCATATTGTTAAAGCTTGGTCCCAAAAGCATGCACTTATAAAGGTTTTACTATATTCTCTATATGCAAGTTATTAAAGTGTGATCCCAAGGGTATGCACTTAGAAAGGTCAGACTGTAATTTTGAATCTGAGACAGAAATTGACAATTATATATACTGAGTGGTTGAATTGTAATGCAATGGAACGAAAGTTGAATTTAAATACCCAGACCAAAATAAGAGCAAGTATTGTTATATACGTATGTATGTGCCTTGGTTTGAAACTGTAGAAGTATTAGCCTTATACGTTGGGTACTTTGGGATTATAGACTCATTATAAAACTATTTGCAAGAATTTACCTCGAATCTGATTGGATGTTTATTTATTCTAGAAACGGATAGAACCTCTAGAACCTCTTTTTTCGTGTAACCTAACAAAATTTGGGCTGACCTAACAAATTTTGATAATATATAAAGGTAACTTTTCTTAAATAGTATGAGTTCTAGAATTTTACGACTATAAAGATGAGATTCCATTCTATGTACCACCAAATTCTTGGAAAAATTAGTCCGGGTTCACAAAGTTTTTACTAGGGGCGTATTTTGTGCTTTATATAAAATTTTGTTGTGTCACGTAGATCATATGAGAATTGATCTACGGACACCCTACCCTAAGTAGTATTATGGAAAATCTTAACGGTTTTGGTCAAAAAGGAAATGTGGTAGATCACAATCACTGGTAAAAGCGCACTTATACCTAATATGGAAATTTAATAAATTTATTTATTTACTGTTTTTAATTTTTTGTATTACGAGATCGGTAACTGTGAGGTTTGGAAATCGATCGATCGTTAGTTACAAACTATTGAATCTAGTAACTACGTGATGAAACTAGTAACTAATAGTAGTAACTATTAATGTCCTTAGTAGTCACTGTATGCATCTAAAGAACGATAGTAGTATAGTGTTTGGTATTGTTATTCTTTCAATCTTTCTTGTAATTGCACTTAATAAAAATCCGATTCTTCTGTATATTAAATATTGCTTCAATATAATATTAACTAGTATAAAGTCCCTCATAAAGATAAATCTGACACTAAAAAAAGGAAATAAAATAAAATTAACAACCATTTCCCTATTAATCATATCGTCAATCTTAAAATTCGCGCATATACTATCTTTTAATAACTATCGCTGTTGGATTAGTGACCCAAATTTATTAATTTATCCGCACATACGTACGTACGTATGTACTGTAACAAATATCAATATGTTCAGCCATAATCCTAAGTGGAAATGATCAGAGCCATTTAGTCAATGGAAGGATTAATTAATTAATAAATTTAATGCATAAGCGATTATTATTCTTTTTCCTTTTTCATACAGTAATAATGTTTCGTGATTTTTTTGTTGCCTTTTTTTTACAGTATAAAACCTTTACAAAATATTCTCGAAATTCATTAACATGAAACTTTTACTTATTTCATCATTGATAGAATAAATCATGAAATTAAACATACATACCATTCATTTCGCAATATTATCCTTATTTCTCATTTTTGCACATGGAACTAATTCTAGTCAACCCAGCAATAAAAATGACTTAAAATTCAGTTCAACTACCGTTTCCATCACTACCAATTCTAACGCACTTAAAGCCATTTCTACCAACAATGTCAAATTACTCACTACTACAAATGCAATAACTACAACCAAAGACGTTTCCCCTACTTTCAAAGCCAATGCAATCACTAAGACCAAAGCCTCCGCAGTTTTCAAAGCCAAAAAAATCACCAAGAAAAAAAACTCCTCCACTCCTACAAAAGCCAATGTAATCTCCAAGACCAAAGCCTCTACTGTTTTCAAAGTCAAAACCATCACCAAGAAAAAGGCCTCCACTCCTGCCAAAGTCAATGCAATCACTACAACAAAAGCTGCCTCTACTCCCTTCAAAGTCACTACAATCATTAACATCACTACGGCTGGAATAACAAGCAAATCTGCAACCATTGGTCCAATAATTGCAGCGGTCACAACATATCGAGTTACCTCCACGACTGCAATAGCTACTCCTACAGATTCAGCAACTAGTACAACTGCAGTAATTGCAGCAATACATACTTCTGCAGATTCAGCAACTGGCATAACAGTAATAGCCGCCAGCACTGATCCAATGATTATAGCTACCACTAATAATCTAGTTACTTCTATGAAAACTATAACTATTTCCGCAAATTCAACAACAAGCATAGCAGTAGTAACCACCACTGTTCATCCAATAATCGCAGCCATATCTGTGGATTCAGTTATCACTACGGCTATAACGACTAATGCAGATTCATCAACAGGCACAACTTCAATAGCTGCTACTACTGATTTAACTGCTGTTACAGTTGCAGCAACTAATGCAGATTCAGCAACTAGTACAACCACAATAGCCACCACCACTAACCCAGTGATTTCAATTACTACCACAGATCCTATTACCACTACGACTGCAATAATTAGCACAACTGCAATAGTCGCAAATGATCCAGTAATTGCTGCTGGCAACATTGTAATAACTACTTCTACTAGTATAAACACAATAGCCGTCACCACAGATCCAGTGACCGCAGTCACCGCCACAGATTCAGTTACTACTATGACTTTAATAGCTAATACAGATTCAGAAACTAACGCAACTACAAAAACAACCACTGCTCATCCAGTAATCGCAGTCAAATCTGTTATTTCAGTTATTACTACGGCCACAACAAGCACAATGGCTGCTACTACTGATTCAGTTGCAGCTACTGCTGCAGTAGCTAATGCAGATTCAGCAACTAGTACAATCACAATAGCCACCACCACTAACCCAGTGATTTCAATTACTACCATAGATCCTATCACCACCACTACGACTGCAATAGATTCAATAATTAGCACAACTGCAATAGTTGCAAATGATCCAATAATTGCTGTTGGTAACACAGATCCAACTACTACCACGACTGTAATAACTACTTCTACTAGTATAAATACAATTGCTGCCACCACAGATCCAGTGACTGCAGTCACCACCACAGATTCAGCTGCTACTGTGACTATAATAGCTAATACAGATTCAGCAACTGCAAAAACCACCACTGTTCATCCAGTAATCGCAGCCAAATCTGCAATTTCAGTTATTACTACGGCTACAACAAGCACAATAGCTGCTACTACTGATTCAATTGCAGCTACTGCTGCAGTAGCTAATGCAGATTCAGCAACTAGTACAATCACAATAGCCACCACCACTAACCCAGTGATTTCAATTACTACCATAGATCCTATCACCACCACTACGACTGCAATAGATTCAATAATTAGCACAACTGCAATAGTTGCAAATGATCCAATAATTGCTGCTAGCAACGCAGATCCAATTACTACCACGACTATAAAAACTAATTCTACTAGTATAAATACAGTAGCTGCCACTACAGATCCAGTGGTTGCAGTCACCACCACAGATTCAGCTGCTACTATGACTATAATAGCTAATACAGATTCAGCAACTGCAAAAACCACCATTATTTATCCAGTAATCGCAGCCAAATCTGCAATTTCAGTTATTACAACGGCTATAACAAGCACAATAGCTGCTACTACTGATTCAGTTGCAGCTACTGCTGCAGTAGTTAATTCAGATTCAGCAACTAATACAATCACAATAGTCACCACCACTAACCCAGTGATTTCAATTACTACCACAGATCCTATCACCACTACGGCTGCAATAGATTCAATAATTAGTACAACTGCAATAGTCGACACCAATGATCTAATAATTGTTGCTACCAACACAGATTCAATTTCCACGACTGTAATAACTGCTTCTACTACCTTAGTTCCAGTGATTGCAGCCATTACCACAGATCCGGCTACTACAGATTTAGCAACTACAATAGTTCCCACCACTGATTCAGTAATTGCAGCTACCAACATTAATCCAGCTATCTCCACAACTGATATAACTACTTTTGCAAATTTAGTAACTATAGCACCTAAAAAATCCATCACTGCTCATATTCGTCCAATTCTTTCAGTATCCACAACCACAGCTTCTGCAATAGCTAGTACAAGCCAAACTTCAACATTCACCATCATTCGTCAAGTTCGTCCGTTATTTCCAGCCACAACCTTTGTATTAGTTAGTAAATATTCAACAGGCGAGACAAATTCAGCAACAAGTGCAGCTTTAATAGATGCCACTACTGATCCAATAATTGCAGCCACAGCTGCAGATTCATTTACAACCACGACTGCAATAATTAATACAGATTTAGCAACTAGCACAACTGCAATAGTTGCCACAACTAATTCAGTAATTGCAGTTACCACCACAGATCCAGTTAACACTATGACTACGATAGCAAATTCGGATTCAGCAACTACCATTACCATTGATCCAGTAATAGCAGCCATCGCCACTAATATAGTCACCTCCACAGCTGCTATAGATACATCTGCAGATTCAGCAATTAGCACAACTACAATAGCCGTCACTACTGATCCAGTAATTATTTTAATGGCCAATACAGATTCAGTAACTAGTACAACTTCAATAGCTGCCACTGATGATCCGGTTATTGCAGCCACAGCTGCAGATTCAGTTACTACCATGGCAACCGAAATGGTTGCCACTGTTAGTCCAGCAGTTACAGCTACCACCACAGCTCCAGTTACTACTATGACTGCAGTAGCTAATACAGATTCAGCAATTAGCACAACTGTAATAGCTACTATCGAGAGAATTACCAATAATGAAGCCACCACTACTACGGCAGCTGCACCAACTATCACTCCTTATTGTTGTAAATGGGGAGATCCCGGTTATGGATATTTGCATTCGTATAGTACAATGTTATCTTTTTATGCCGAAACATCATTAGAATGTTGTATAGCTTGTCTGAATAACGATGATTGTATTCAGTGGTGGTTTGACAATAATAAATATAATTGTTGGTATTCATCCAAGTCTGTAGGAGATCCTATAGGTGATGTCTGTACATATCGAAACCCATTTCTTCACTACTATGATGGAGGAATTATGAGATGTTCATCAACCGGTTGCATGTCATAACATGTCTTGTACCTATTCATGTGTTAAAAGTTTT